CAGTAGGACTGCGGTGGTCTCGTCAAACAGGCGGCGCGCGGCGGCGGGGTCGGAGGCGGCGGGGTTGAGGGGCGCGCGGGTGGTGGTGTTGGAGCCGGCGTAGCCAAACACGTGGAGGTAGCGAGGGCCGATGTAGGCGCCACCACGGCCTTTGGGGGTGGGGGATTAGGGGGGGAACGGGGAGGCAGAATTTGGGGGGCGCGTTGCAAGGTGTTATAAGCATGGGGTTGACAGACGGCCGAAGACGAGGACGGCGGCACAGGTCGGAGGACGTTGATCGGGCGCGACCGGCGGCCGACGGGGCGCGGCGTAGGGGGGCCCTGGGCAGGCGTGTGCTCCCCCGACCCCCGGCCAGAGCACGCACTCGCGAGGCGTGGCTCTGTGGCTGCGTAGATCAGGCTGGTGGCGGCCCAGGCCGGGGTCTGGCCGTGGACCAGCGCCCCCAGCCAGGCGGTCCAGGAGGACAGGCGCGCCCCCGAGGACTTGTACTCGCCGGGGGTGTGGGCCACGCCTTGGGGGCGGGTTGAAGCGCAGGGGACGGGGTCGTGGGGCGAGGGGTGGCGACGAGGTGTCGTGGCGCGGGTGACTGGGTTGTGGCGCGCCGGCCCTGCAGTACACCTCACACCACAGCTGCAATGCATGCGACAAATTGCGATTTCCACTTCTGCTGTCGCAGCGCATGCTGCGAGCAATGAGGCGGTGTGCCTGAACATGCGTGTATGTGTGTGTGTGTCAGCACGCGTGCATGCACGCCAGTCGAGCGGCAGGTGCCAAGTCAGCGCACCTGGGTGCACAGCGAAGCAGTCGATGCCCGTGCCGCGCAGGCGGCGGTTGAGCTCCCGCGTCCACATCAGCAGCATCAGCTTGGCGCAGCCGTAAGCTCGGAACGTGGACGCGGGGCTGTTGAGGCCCCTGCGGCGTTCCGAGGGGGGGCGGTCCCGAAGCACAGGGCACGGCAGCTCGCAGTGGGCCCAGCAGCAGGCGCAGGGGCGCGCATACGCCCCCGTGTCCAAGAGCGCGTCACAAGGCCTCAGCATGGGACACTGAAGCAGCGCCACTGAGATAGCCCGAGGAGGCAATCCGCAGGCAGCGCGCGGGGCTGGCGCCGGCGCCCCAACGCCGAAAGCGTGTGTGCGCAGGCTGTGCTCCCCCGCCACACCTGAGGTCCCCCCAGTCGAGCGCCCCCAGCGCCTCCCCCAGTGACGACACGCTGACGACGCGCGACGGCGCAGCCACGGCCAGTGACGGCAGCAGCAGGTGCGTCAGCAGCACGGGGCCAAAATAATCGACCGCCCGTGTCACCTGGAGTGTGGAGGGGGGCGGCGCGGCAGCGAGGAAGCGGACGTGAGTTCAAGGAACAATTGCATGTTGGTGTGCTCCGCACATAACCCATGCTTACACTTGTATTGTGCATCAGGCTTTGCTGCAGGCCTCCTCAACAACGATCGCTGGCACCAACACCTGGGCTCCTGTCCCGGGGCCGCAGTGCATTCGAGTGCCGCTCACACCCACCAACCCAGCAAAGCACCGGCCAAGAGCGCCTGGGCCACGCAACACGCTGCCGCCATCGGCCCGGCCCAGCCTGCCGCGCCCTGCCCGCTGCGCCTCGCCCGCCGCGCGCGCGGCGCACCTCGATCCCGTTCTCAGATGTCGCTGCCGCGCCCGACACCGGAGCGTTCAGCACGCCCGCGTTGTTGACGAGCCCGTGGATGCCGGAGGGGAAGGACGCCGCCACGCGGGATGCAAAGGCGCGGACGGACCTGCTAGGGCAGGGGGCGACAGGACCCGAGCTGGTGGGCGGACGACAGACCCACGCGATTCTGGTGGGAAGCCCGCTACCACACCTGCAAAACGTTTGCTGTTTACACGCGCAGAAGCAAGGACCTCTGCACCAACATCAAATTGTTCGACGCTTCAAAGCATCAAGGTGCGCCCACCTGAATGAGGCCATGTTGACGTGCCACACCAGCAGCTTGGCGCCGCGCACCTGGTAGCGGATCGCCTCCGCGGCCCTGGAGGCGGGCGCAGATCACCAGGACAATGGGTGCAAGCATCCACGAATCGGTGCGGCCCAAACGGCTGCCGCTGCGACGTCCGGCTCGCACCGTGAGGGACCTTGGCCCCCCCGCCCCCCCGCCACGCGCCGCACGGCCCCACCTGTTGCCGCTCTCCGTGTTGCGCACCGCCATAACCACGAGCGCGTTGCGCTCCGCCAGCCGCAGGGTGGTCTCGTAGCCCAGGCCAGAGTTGGCGCCCGTCACCACAAACACCTGCGGTAGGGACGCCGGCGAGGCGCGCGCCGCACGCATCACGCGCACGCCACACCCACTCGCCGGCTCGCCGCATGTGGTGGCGGCGCCTGAGCCGGGGGGTAGGCGTGCAACGGCGCCAGGGCAGCAGGGCGTGGGGCCCTCAACGCACTTCGAGTGTCCGCTGCCGGCTGGGCCCCGGCTAATGCGCCCCCAGGCGGCCTCCTGGTCACCTTGCCCAGCTGATCTGGGGCGTGGATACGGGCGTCCCATCCCCACAGTAGGCGCGTGACGATGTCCATGCTGGGCTGCTGCCTCCACAGTCACAACACTCTTATTGAGAAATCGCAATACTATCAAGTTGCACAAAGAGCTTTGATTCGATGGATCGAATGATGATACAGTAAGGGCGGCCTGAGAGGCGGCCGCCGCCCCGCAAGAAGCTCTCGCGGCAGCATGACGCGGCGCGGCCCGAGGTGCGCGTCACCAGCGGCGGTGCGCGGTGCGCGGCGCGCGCGCGCGCGTCATCGCAGCAGGCGCGCGCGAAACGCGTCGACGTCGGCCGCGGCGCTGGCTGCATTGACCTCGGGAGGATCCTCTGCGTCGCGGGCCGCGGGCACGCTCCTGGCCGCCCGTGCCGCCGCCTGGTGCGGGCGTGGGCGAGACCAGGGTTGGGCGTGACACTGAGTGACGTCACGGTTTCCCCACCATACAGACCCGACAGCAGCACCGGCAAGGTGGGAAAATTGAAGCAGCAGCTGCTGTTTGCTGGCCAAAAGCCCTGTGAGGTGGCTGCCACGAGAGCTCTACTGCGGTGCCGCGCCATCCAGCATCCTCTGTACCTCTGGCCCCTTTGTGCAAAAACGCGCGGGATGGCAGCCGCGCCCAGCCCCACACCCACGTGCGCCCGCCCACCAGCCGGTGCTCCAGAGCGTCGCACGCGTCACCCATCGCCTGTTTGGCAGAGCGCAGCCGCGCCACCGCGGGACCAGCGCTGCAGGCGCGATGGGATGCAGGGCGTGTGTGTGAGCAACTCGCGGCCCAGCTGCGCGCACGTCCGCCACGTGCGAGCTGCAAGCAGATCTTGGCACGCTTGCAGGGGCAGTGTTGACCACGTCGAATGCCGTTAACGTGCACACCTGCGGTCGTCGGCCTCCACAATGGCAGAGAGGGCCGCGAGCAGCTCCTGTATCGGGTGCAGGTGTGCAGTGAGTGCAGCAGATCGGCAGCGCGCCAGCCACCCCGTCAGCCACCGCCACGGCTGCACAGTTGTGCAGTGGCATGGCATACAGCTATGAGTCCTTTTCGTTGCGATCAGCACCTCGTAGGCCGCGCGCAGCTCCTGCGGACGCCCCTCCATTGATCGCTGTGCAGCACCAATCACCATGTAAGCACGAAGTGCATGCAGATACTATGTAGGCTTTTTACACGTGTTAATTCGGTTATAGCGCCGCATGGAAAACGACAATAATGCTGAAGGTTGTCATACCGTATTGTGGCAGTGGTTTGAATGTGATCTGGCGGCAATCATTCAATTTACCCTCAAGCCTGCTGCTCTCAGCGCAATTCGGTATCTCACTACAAATAGCATACTTTGATTGAGAATGTACATCAGAAGCGTGCTTCATGTGCACTGCAGGCCTCGTTATCGAGCCTAGCAGGGGCAGCGGCAGTGCTAGGAACGTGCAGGGACTGACAAATGGACGTTGAAACTATCCTTTGCACGCCGGTCAAGGGCGCGGGTGGCGGTGCCCCGTCGGACGACGTGGTGCTGGCCACGCCGGGGTCGGGCACGCCTGGGCGATGGCATGGTGCGCGATACGCAACGAGCGCACGCAGTGTAGAACTAGATAATCTCCGGTCAAGACCTCGAATCTATCTGCCTGGCATAAACAGCCGCTTGCGGCTGCTGCACACATGCTGATGGTTGTACTCAACTGTTCTGTGCAGGCGGCGGCGGGCTCTTTGCGTGCGACGCCCTGGGCGCCGCCAGCACTCCCGAGCTGCTGCGCGGCCGACAGGTGGCGCAGGAGCAGGAGGATGCAGCCAAAGGCCCCCGCTGCAAGGGCAGCCTGTTCGCACGGCCGCAGGCTGCGCGCCCGGGCCAGCGCGTGGCAGGCGTGCCACAGCAGCAGAGGCCTGCTGCTGGCGCACGGCCCTCCTTTGCGAGACAGCAGCCCCAGCGGCCACAGCCGCTGTCGCAGAAGCTGGAATTGCAGCAGCAAGGCGGCGACGCAGCTAAAATGCAAGGTGCAGCCGCGCTGCAGCGGCAGCGGCAGCCCCTGCGGGAGAGCCAGCCGCTGGAGCCACAGCCCACCCCGCCACGGCGACGGCTGAACGGCGGTGTCAGTGCACAGGATATCAAACAGGTGTGTGATTCAAACGCGCTTGGGCGTCATGGCAATGAGCTGTAGGTTGGCGGCCCGATTGTTTGCAGCGATGCATTGAAAAGGTCTGGAGCATGGGGGGATGTGGGCGAGCAGGTTTGGCTCCAGCCCGACCCACGTGGCAGGTGGCAGTTGCCCTTCATTCACGGGTATTACGGCATGCCCTTCTTTTCGGGACAGGCCCTCTTGACATCTCCAGTAGCGACGCCGCTAAGGCGCTCGCTGCAGCAGCAGCAGCAGCAGCAGCAGCAGCAGCAGCAGCAGCAGCAGCAGCAGCAGCAGCAGCAGCAGGAGCGCGGCGCCCATGATGCCTGCCCTGCGTCTCCCTTCAGCCCAATATGCTCGAAGCGGCAAGGGTCCATGAGCGTCGCGGTGGGCGCCAGCATGGGCCTGGCGGCGCTGGGCCTGCGCGCTGCTGCGGCCTCCTTGGTGCAGTCTGGGCCACAGGGCGAAGACGACCAAGTGCCGGCGCCCCAACGGCCAACGGCAGCAGCTGCGCTATTCCAGCAATATAGCGAGGCTAGGGGTGCGGTGCGGGCGCTGGAAATAGCACCTACCGCGGTGCCACAGGCGCCAGAACAGGCTGGCGGGATGCAGCCATCGGGCGCACAGCCCAAGCCGCAGCAGCAGTTTCCGCAGCAGCCGAACCAGCCGCGGGACCAGCAGCCGGGCGAGCACCCTCAGCAGCAGCCGCAGAACCAGCAGGCTCTGTTTCTGCCCAACCTTGTCGCGCGCCAGGCGCCGCCAGGGCAGCCTGCGGCACCAGCACCTCCCGCCCTGCACGCCGCGCAACCAGCCGCGCCGCAGGCCGCACCGCCGGCTGGTCCGCAGGCCGCGCCCTGGCGGGACCCGGCCCTCCTGCAGTCACTGGGGGTGGGCGGCACGAGCCTGCTGGCGCGCGGCGGCGGCAGTGCGCTGCTGCACTTTGGCAGCGGCGCGGATGCCGAGGGCGGCGAGGGTTGCGAGGGGGGCGAGGAGCCTTCAGCCAGCGCAGCTGCCGGTAAGGGGCTCAAGCGGGCCGGCGGGCGCAACCACGCAGCGCCGCCGCGACCAGCTGCGGGCGGACAGCTGACGCCGCCTGCGACGCGGCGGCGGCGCGCCACGCGGGCTGCGGCGGCGACAGGTGCGGACGGGCGGGCGGAAGCCGAGGCGGGAGGTGCGGGCGCGCCAGAGCCCCGGGGCGCTGCCGCGGCAGAGGCGGCTGAGCCTGGAGCAGCAGAGCAGGCGGCAGCGCCCTCGCCGGTGCAGGCGCCTGGGCGGCGGCGCGTCGCGCGCCGCCCCTCGTGCCAGCCAAAGCCGCAGGCGCAGGCGGCGGCGCGGCGGCCGTCCGGGGCGCCGCAGATGGCAGCGCCGCAGGCTGTTGGGGCTGGTGGCAGGCCGAGGAGGGCAGCGGCCGTGCGCGGGGGTGAGAGGCGCAAGGCGAGCGTCGCTGAACCAAGCGATGACGACGGGTGGGACAGCAAGGGGGGCGGGCGCGGCGGCAGCAGCGGCGACGAGGGCGCAGGATGGGGCGGCTCGCGCGGTGGCGGCGGTGGGAGCGGGAGCAGCAGCGGCGGAGGCAGCGACTGCGAGATGGAGTGTGACAGCGGCAGCGAGCGTCCTGCGCCTCGCAAGCGCAAGCAGGGCCCCGCTGCAACAGGGGCCCGCGCACGCAAGCCGCGTGCAGCTAAGGCGGCCGCAGCAACAGCAGAGGATAGCACGGCAGTCGCGGTAGCCGCGCCCGCCAGGAAGCGCCGGCGCCCAACGGCGGCCGCGGCGGCAGCAGGGGCGGGTGGTGGCGGCTACGGCGGCGGCGGTGGTGGCGGGGACGCGCTCGACGCAGCGGGGCCGCCTGCGGCAGACGGCGGTGCGGCCCCGAAGAAGCGGCGCTCTGCGGCGCCGCAGGAGCGCAACAACTTCCGCCGCTTCAAGGGTGGGTCGGATAGCAGCGGCCTCTGATTGCGCCCCCTTGTGGGCCTTTGTTCACACAGGGGGGGCCTGGACTACAGTCGATTTTCCAGGACTCGAAGCAGCCAGCACCTGAGGCACGTTGTGGCTGCATCACTCACGTGCTGGACCCCGATCATGCGCTCCACCAAGCCCGCACCCCTCACGTCCTAAAACCAACCACTCCGCGCCCCCAGGCAACAACGCGCGCGGCAAGTTCTCCTTCAAGTTCCAGTCCAAGGCCGGCGCCACTGGCGCCACCCAGCGCTTCTCGCGCAAGCTGCCCAACGGCCGCACCATCTACGCGCGACGCAAGGCACCCACCATGGCTGGGCAGGTGCGCGCGCGCGAGGCGCCGGCCGCTGCCAATTAGCCAGCCACAGGCAGAGTCGGCCCCAAACCGGCCCCAATTCAGCCTCGAAATGTCAACCATAGCGCAGCGGCACCCAACCAATGGGGCGACGCCCACAGGCAGCGGCACCCCGGGCCCAGCGCCCTCTGCCTTGATGTCACCCCAAAATGACCTGCCGCCTGCCGCCCCGCCCAGGGCGCGGAGCTGGTCGATGGGTTCAACATCAACAGCCGCTACAGCCGCTGCTTCCGCTGCGGCCAGAGCGGCCACTGGTCGCAGGACTGCCCCCTCGCGCGCGCGGGCGGCCCCCCTCCCGACGTGGCGGGCGGCGCCGCCGACGGGGCGGCGGGCGGGGACGCGGGCGC